GCGTCAGCCCAGCCCCCCTCGCTGCTGCTGCTGCCCAAATCCCAGCGCTTTTCCCTGCCACAAGACTCCTTTGTACCGCGGTACTGGGTACCCTTCTTCTGGGCTCCGAGGACAGTAGTTGCCCTGTGTAAAAATGCTGCGATATTGGGGTGAGATTCCAGTTTCATCTAACCAGGCCAACCGCAGCTCCTTTGACCTGCTTCAGCGTGAGTTTCGTACCGTGGAAGTCCAAGATCCTCCACTGCACCAGCCATCCGCGAACAAACCCCGGCCGACCACCATGTTGGACATCCCCTCAGAGCCCTGCAGCCTCACCATTCACACCATTCAGCTCATCCAGCACAACCGGCGGCTGCGCAGCCTGATCGCCTTGGCCCAGGCTCAAAACCAGCAGCAAGCAGAGGGCATAAAAACTGAAGACAACGAACCTCTGCCATCTTGTCCGGCCTCTCCACCTCTCCCTGATGACCTGCTTCCTCTGGATAGCAAAACCCCCAAAATGCCATTTCATCTGAGGCACAGTGACCCAGAGAGTGATTTCTACAGGTGTGTTGGTATTTCGTTGAGTTAGTTCTTGGCTGAAGCAAGGCTGAGTGTTTTAAAATTATATATATATATAGTTATGTCGATTCCCTTAGGCTGAAGGGTCACACAGTTGTGTATGAAGTATAAAACAAGCTTCAAAAAGGAAAGATTTAGATTTCTCCCATGTGGATAACATGCACATTGTTTAAAATCAATGTGCTTTTGTTTCCTGTCTATAAAATGTGGATGTGTAGTGCTGATTTCTGTCTTGTTAGTGCTACACTAAATGTTTATGAACGTTTCTGCTATCTTCAGTAGTATTTTAACAAGTTTAGTTACAGAATGTGGGGTCTCTTCTATTTAGGTCCCTTACTCTGGTCTTATTGCCACTGAAAATCTAGAAGATACATGATCAGGTTTTGGCTAGTTTTGGCTGCTCAGTTGTATGTTCTGAAAAGATGATTTGATAACATACTTGCAGGATTTCAGTGGCCAAGGACCTGTGACGTAGCAACTACCACATTTCACCCTCTTTCTTGGTGTTATTCTGGTCAGAGGTGCGATGAGTATGGGTGAAAGGAATTCTTGTTTCTGATGCTGGCTCCACCGGCCAAGGACTGGGGAAAATGTAGAGAAAGGTTGCATTGCTTCTGCCTCTGCAGCCAATCTTTGATTAAATAGTATGGCCACCACCTTCCTGTCTACACCTCTGACAAGCACTAAATTCACAAGGAGGTGTTGCATTTCTTGCAGGATCTCATTATACTTTCCAGCTTATGTGCATTTAAATTTAGGGATTAATCCTCACTCCTATAACTTTCTGTTCTTAGATTAAAGACTGGGCACCAATGAACATGATACAGGAGATGATAATACGTTTTAGTTTTTAAAATGGGAAAAATGTGCATCAATAAAATATAATGCATCAGTTAAATGCCACCAAGATCTTTAATGGCCTGAGGTTGTATAAAATGCATCTTATTGAAAGATGTTGCCTTTAGTATCATAGTCTCTGAACAGCAGAACTGTTCTTTAGTGCTGTATGTGGAGGAACACCATCATCCTTCTCAGAATAGAGTAATTATCTGAGACGGGTGAAGGGAAGTCCAGGCCTCTGAGGATGAAGTCTGAGCCCTGTGACTCCTGCTCTTTCTGCCCCTGTGGTTTGTAGAACTGAGCAGTGTTCTGCTCTGCTCTGCCCTCCCCGATGGCTTCAGCTTTAAGTTCAGTTTTTTGTGGCTCTGTCCATGATTTGGAGGCTGCTCAGTCTTTTTGTTGTCCCTTGTGTGTTTTTGGGGTCCGAATAAAGAAATGTTATTTAGCAGTCAGCCACATGGGGGAGTTTAAGGACTAGATTGTAAAAACTGGATACATGGTTTTGAAATGAAATGTTTTGTGGCTGATAGAGAGTGGATTTATAATGAACTGCAGTGTAGACTAGAATTTAATTGTGTGCTTGCTAAACCAAACACATTTATGCTTTTCCAGGAGGAAAGCTTTGAGTTTGTTGTTGCATGTTTGTTCTTAACTGTTTTAAGACACTTACATGGATTAAGAATAGCAGCTGCTGTTACAGTAGTAAAAATAAAGTTGTATGATATGCCGATGCCTGTTTTTAGTGTATAAAAACAATTTAAGAAAGACCATTTTTCCCCTTGATAGAACATGGTAGTGCTTAATTTTATGCTGCCTTCTGAAGTACCACTGTCTGATGTTACAGTATTTGATGTTACAGTATTTGACTAAATCCATATTTTAATTCCATTTTCTTTGGCAGTAACTTGGGTCTGAGAAGCAGTGCATAGGTGTATTTAGACATAGGAAGAAAGGAAGATAAGAATGAAGAGCCTGAATCAGACCACAAGTTTCTTTATTATAGTCATGTCCTCTTCTGTTTTCTTGTTATTCATTTTTGCCTTTTGACACCACACCCTTGGTTTCTGTTTTGTTATTCCCCTGATTAATTTTGTTTTTCTTCCCTTCTGCCCCACCCCATACCTGTAAACCCTACCTCCTTGTCCCTTTTGAGATGAGGAACAGGCAGAGCCTAATTTATTGCTAGGTTTCAGTTGTTTTGGTCTCTTCAACCCCCCAAAATCTGTACCACCAGTAGTTTTAATCATGATGCTATTCCTCTCCTCCATTTTTCCAGACTGTTTGTATATGTTGAAATGAACCTTGATTCTGGCACGGATCCTCAAGGAAAGACATGGGCTCCCCAGTGGAGATCTCTTAAGTACTTGCTTGTTCATGGATTTGGAGAACTCTGGTGTTTATGAAGCAGGTTTTCAATTTACAAAAGCTGTCTGGACCCTTTCTGAGAGTATCATATTTACCCATGTGTCCTCTAATTCTATTCTTATAATTTATTTGAATTTCCCTGATGCACCAGAATATATCAGGCTTCCCAGCCTGCAGTTATTCACATCTTTTCTGAAGCTATTAGAAGAAAATGTTTTCACATTTTCTTTCTTCTGATCCTCATGGGCCAAGGCAGTTTAAAGCAAGAGGTGACTCACCACAGCTTTGAACTATTTCATCCTTGAATTCCTTTAGTATTCCTGGATGAATTGCCATCTGGTCCTAGTGATTTGCAACTGTTTGATGTTACAGTTCTTGGAATACACAATAAGGGATTAACATTAGGTTTTGTTTGGTATAAAAACAGAAGGTAAGCTTAATTGATGAAGAATGAGTGAGGAACTGTAGACTTGAAGCTACCATTTGAACTGGAGGCTCTTACTGTAATGCTGCTGCTAGCTTTTGCTTCTTCTCTGTTCAACTTCCTCTGATTAGCATGGATCCATCTTCAAAAGAAATCTAGCCTGCTCATTATGTCCCACTTCAGATGCTTTCTCTGGTGTGTGCATGACTGGTTTCTGAACAGATTTCTCTGCCATTCTGACATGTGTGTTCCTGGCCACAATGGATGTCTGCTTTGCATTGAAAGATAATCTGGGAATGAAACTGGGAGCTTGCAGTGGGAAGAGAGTTCATGGCAGAAGGGCTTATAGTTAAGAAGTGTCTGTATGGAAGTAGGGAAGCACGTGTTGATGGGATAGCAGGTTCAACACTGGGAAGGATTTGGAGCAGTGGAAGTTAGAGCAGGCAGAATGTACTTCCCCTGCCCGACTAAGTACTTCAGTTTAGCCCCTAAACTATGTGGTCTTCTGGGTTGGGCCGCTGGGAACCAATTTATTTTCCAGACATTATCTATTACCTCTTACCATTATCTGTTGGGCAGTTTTGTTTTATACCTGTGCAGCCTTTGCAGACATAGCAGAGATAATTAAAAAGAGATTTACTCAGGATGAGGTAGAAAGAATCCCTTTTCCAAAAGGAGACAACTTTCTGGTTTGAGTCGGTGTGCTGTGTTCTTTGATGCACTGTCTAGTATAATCCTGTTTTTCCATTCTCCTTTATTTTACTGTTTTGGGGAAAATAAGTGATCTTGTTGCACTTCATCTGGTAAAAAGTCAACTCCACTAGCAGTTTCATAAAATTGATGTGTTCATAGGAAAAAACAGCCCTTCCTTCCATCTGCTGCTAGCTTATGCTTACCTAGGAGGGAGCAGAGCACTTCAATCCGTTACTGCAGTTGAGTGAACCTCAGCTGTCGATCCTTGTACTAACTTAGCCCAAACCCTTTCCCCTGTAGTTGCATGGGAAAATAGAGTTGAATATAGTTGCACGGGAAATTAACCACAAGATCTCCTTCCCTCTAAGAAAAACAGCCTTACAGGAGAGGAGCTTGGGTGAATGGATTGTGGTGCCTTTGGAGAATGTGGCCTTTTGCGAGTTCTGAAACCTTATTAAATCTGAAAATAAGCCTGCTTGGTATAAATGGATGCTTTTTTCTGTTGTAAAGTTCTGCGTTTTGCAGGTTTGCTGGCAGCAGTGGGAGAAGGCTGGGTTTTGGGTCTGATGAATTTGTGGCTTGGCAGGAACATCATCTAGTGTTGGTTACCCGTATACAAATATATAGATCCTACTGGAAATGCAAAATTGAAGAGTGACAGTTGGCCAGTATTTGTGATAAATTTCATACTGTATATTCTGTAGAGATCATCACCTCCAAGTCACAGGCTTAATTGCCAGTCTTGTTAATCTCTGGTGACAGATTTTTAGGGATTAAAGCGCTCTTGTTAATATGCAGCTGTATGACCCTGGTAATATGTTAAATAGATTTGGCTTTGGATGGTATCTGGATGGGGAGCCTTTCAGGAAAGCACTTAAGTGCTGCAGAGGGTGGTATTCTGCATAATGATAGTATCTGGAGGGGTGCTTTTGTAGGTGCTAGATATCTGGATAAGATCAAATACGAAGGCTCTCTACCTATGATCATCAAGGAAGAGAAGTTTGCTGCTCCTTTTTGGGAAGTCTTGACATTAGGTAGCTGCTTTTAGCTTAAGTGTTTCTATGTGGCAGTTTTTGTTTATGTGCATTCTTATAAGACAGTACCTAAAAGTTAAAGAGGAAGAAAAAAAGATATTTTCTCATTTGTGCTTTTCCATTAACATCTACAACAATATTTCAATTTTTGCTGTCTAATCAGGCTTTTAATCATCTTCCTCTATTGTTTATTGTGGGAAACAGGAAAACAAGAGAAGAAAATGTTATGAAAAACAAAACATAATTGACTGACCTTACCAAGAACAAAAGGTGGGGATTTGGTTTTGAGTACAGTACCTGAAATTTCTTTTGTCTCTTTCTTTAATTGATTAGATTTCAAGTTGATTATATCCCTTTCAGCATTGTGACCTAGCTGCATTTTAATGCTGGCAATTAGTTTCTTTTGCTCTAGGAGTTTAAAAGAGATATAACATTCTCTTTTGCTTCTGAGCAGTGATACATGTTGCTAAACTGTTGTTTTCTACTTTACAAGTGACTGAATGTCCTGCTTGGGCTTTCCAAGTTCTCTGTCTGGTTTAAGTTTGTCCATAGTGTTTTGATTGAATGGCAGAGCGTCAGTAATGGCTCTTTATTTCTCTCTGCATTAATAGTAGTTTGGTGTTTTTGGTGGCATAAGATGGCTGCTGGACAGCTAGGTATATGTGTCCTTTATATGTGTTAAAAAAGAAGAGGTTCTCTTTTGTAGGCATAGATTTTGATGGCTGTTTTCTGATTGGTTTTGTTTGATGGGTGGTTTTTTTCTGTTGTAACCTCCTGGTCCCAGTGTTGTATGAGACATGTGGCTGTGAACTTCAGAAATCTGTCGCTGGGAGGTGGAGGGGGGTGGGGGGTTCTGAGGGAGATGTAAAATCAGTATGGGTGGCACTTGGTTTATAAGGGAACTGATGATCTTTTAATCCATCTTGTTAGAGCACCTGCTGTCTTCTTTACAAAGTAGTTACATAACTGAGTAGGAATTGGGATGTGAGTAATTTTCCAGCAATTAATAACTGGGATGAATCCATGACCTGAGATCCACATGCTGTTCTTACTATCCACTTAGAAATATCATCATTTACAGTTCTTAATATAGTGTGATTCCTCCCCTTTATTTGAATAATCAGAAAGTGCTGAGCTGGTGTTCTTGAAAAGGAATGGTTTTGGTCTGGATTGCTCTAAGTTTAACCTTCCATTTTCACCCCCCTGAAACGTTACCTTTTCTTACTGCTGTGTTTCACTGGTTTCCTGTGGGTCAGCCCTGAGGATCAGGGGGAGCTGAGGCTCTGTGAGCCGGTGTCTCAGTGAGACTGAACGGTACCTAATGCACTCATTGGAGAAACAGGAGCAGTGAGAATTTTACCAAGGCATCAATGCTGTCTGTGTGCTGCTTAATCACATCTTGTTGCTGGAAAGAATGTGTGGTGATATGCAAGTAATGTAGGGTGAGAGCAAGGCGAATCTCAGGGTGGGCTGTGGAAGATGTTGGGAGAAATTGATCAGAAACAAATGAAGGGTGAAATTGTTAGCTTAATTTTGCCACTGGTGCCGAATGAAGTGTAAAAAAGTATATAAATCCCATATTTAGCAGAAAGGAAATTTGATTTTTTTGACATCAGCGTTTGAAGACTGTGTTACTGATACAGGCAAATGCATCACATGCATTTAATTGTGTGTTGAGAAACCTGGTAGAAATATGTTTACCTTTCAGAGGCCTTGCCTTGTCTCGTCCTCTCTTTTTCCTATGTGATAGTTCTGTTAACTCATCTTGATGAAAAATTCACTTGCCTGACTGTAAATGAATGATGTTTGAAGTACTCATGTCAATTGTTCTCCATCTCCTCCATCCTGCCTGGTCACTCCTTCCTGCTTAGCAACACTGAGAAGAGAGGTCTCGGACCCAGGGCTGGGGAATGCTGCTCTCCAGCAGAACCTCTCCAGGCCTGGTGTTCACTTCCTAGGTTGCATATGGGGATAATTCTTTCAGTGTCATACTTAGAGACTACTGGAAATGAGGGCAGGGAAATCGTCTTTTTGGCTACAGTGTACCTTTGTGAAATGTATGTGTATCCCGTTTCTTGCTTTTTGTGTGGATCTTTTGCATTATAAATTCAGATCTTGTCTATCCCAGAAGCCTTTGTATCTGACTATTAGGCTTGTGACATCAGAGACAATAAGGAAGAGAAATGTAATTTACCGAGAGGGGAAATGATTTGCATTCATGTTACTTAAAATACTTTTTTTTGTTTGTGTCAAGGACCCATTTAATTCATGTCTCCAGGAAAAAAGCTCTTGGGTGGGAAGGGAGTTACTTAAGGGTTCAGAAGATTTTCATCCCTCATTCATGCATCGATCACCCAAAGAATCTCCCTGTGTTAGAAGGGAAAATGAGAATTGGCAGTGCTGATTTGGAGGGAGGGGAAGAAGGGAAAGCAGGTAAACCCTTTCTAAGTAGTGTTCATATGTAATGGAGAAGCTGTGGAGAACCCCATTAGGGGGCTGATGCCTTATCCATTAGGCAGGGAATTGGTTTCTTATTTATGTTCTTTATCTTCAGTTTGGAAGGTCCCCTGAAATGCGGTTAGTTTAGAATATTTTTACATGGCACCCATGATTAAACTAATATTAGAATATATGTAGGCCATCTGGATGCTTTATTTGCCTAATTGTGCGCTTTGTGAGGCTTGAATTCTTGTTGCCTATGTGAAGAGAAAGCCAGCACTGTGCAGCGCTTGGTTTGCCTCTTCCCGAGAGCAAAAAACAGTTGGGGATTGTATTCGGACTCCAATTATTCTCTAACAAAAATGACCAAAATTAAAAATGGTCAAGGTCCAGGTTACTAATTTGTTGGCGAGCTTGTGGTGGTGGCAGTGGCAGCAATGGCCAGTTCCCAAAATAGAACTACTATGATCTGGGGAATCAGTAAGCATCATAAATGGTTGCTGAAGTATTTGTGATTCTATGAGAACCCCAAATAATCTGTTTTCCCTTTGCATATCACCTTATTATTGACAGCATCTCTTTAACTGATACATTCCTTTCAGTTTTTGGAAGCGTGCTATTTTTGTCTTTTCTGTTTTTTAGAGGAAAAGGGGAGCCAGTGACTGAGCTGAGTTGGTCCTCCTGCCGGCAGCTTCTCTACCAGTCAATGGCCACCATCCTGGCTCACACAGGCTTTGAGTGTGCCAATGAGAGTGTCCTGGAGACCCTGACAGACATTGCCCACGAGTACTGCTTGAAGTTCACCAAACTGCTGCGCTTTGCTGTGGATCGAGAAGCTCGACTTGGACACACCCCTTTCCCCGATGTCATGGAGCAGGTCTTCCATGAAGTGGGCATTGGCAGTGTGCTCTCACTGCAGAAGTTCTGGCAACACCGCATTAAGGATTATCACAGCTACATGCTTCAGGTGAGAAGATCAGTAGGGATCTCACTGCACCAGTAAATGTACCCCCAGAATAATGGCTTGTTCCTGTAGCGAGTCCTGGGTCTTATTGAAGTAAAATCTGATTAGAAAACCTCTTGGGTCTGAAGGGAAGTCATCGAGGAAAAGAGAAACAAGATTTTTTTAACTGGAAGACAGAGCCCCTTATTTGTGCCCTTACTGAGGCCAAGAATGACCTACTGATGGTTTCACAGAATCACAGAACGTTGGGGATTGGAAGGGACCTCGAAAGATCATCTAGTCCAATCTCCCTGCCGGAGCGGGAACCTAAATGAGATCACATAGAAAGGCATCCAGGCGGGTCTTGAACGTCTCCAGAGAAGGAGACTCCACAACCTCCCTGGGCAGCCTGTTCCAGGGCTCTGTCACCCTCACTGTAAAGAAGTTCCTTCTGAAGATTAAGCGGAACCTCCTGTGTTCCAGCTCACACCCGTTGCCCCTTGTCCTATCATTGGGCATCACTGAGAAGAGCCTGGCTCCATCCTCCTGACATTCACCCTTAACATATTTATAGACATTAATGAGGTCACCCCTCAGTCTCCTCTTCTCGAAGCTGAAGAGACCCAGCTCCCTCAGCCTTTCCTCATAAGGGAGATGCTCCACTCTTGTCTGGGTTTAAGAGGAGGCCTCCAGCTCTTGAGTGGCCCAGACACAAATATAGGTACAGGTAAAATCAGTACTGACCGATTAACTGAGCTTTCTGCTTTATATGGGATTTTTAGCTGCTGTCATTTCGGAAAACAAGTAAGCAGATGAACAGAAATTACTTGGCTGTACAGTGGCTTGTGTTCGCTTAAGCAAGGGGTGACTTGCTTAAGCTTTAAGAGTATAGGGTAGTATTGTGCTGATCTGAGTTGTCACACAGGTGCTACCTTCCACTTTAGAGGGGATTGTGCTTCTGTAGAGAAATAAAAGCAATTGATAAATTCCTTGGAATAAGAGGTGCCATATCAACATAGGTTGTAAGAATAAGGGTGTGGCTTCTTTTGGTCCAGGCATTCTATGAAATGAAACGTATGCTTTTTATTTGGATGATATGACTGTCTACCTGTTGTGGACTTTTTACAGAAGTGCAAGGATTTGAAGTGGGTATTTTACTACTACTCATCAAAAACCAAGTCTAGAATCAAGTAGGTAGCCCATGACCAAAGGCAAACCCTGCAACCCTTCCTCCTTGTCACATTAGCTGAGTGCCAGTTGACTCATCTTGGAGCAGCTACCCAGTGCTTCTTCTTTTCCCAAGGTTGGCACCTTGTGGCTTACAGAGGCAGTATAAATCAGAGGCACCTCTAGGTGAATGTAAACTGTGATGGACTCTGAGGTTTGTGCATAAAAATAACATCATCAGGTTCTGTCTTCATTTAAAAAGCTGGGGTTTTTTCTGCATCATTCTGCTGATGCGTTTGACTCTCATCCTGCAACTGGTCATTGTCTTATTTGTTCTGCTCTTCATGCAGGGCTGACGTCCACAGTAGCCTCTGTATTTGGAAGTATATCTAGGTGGGGGAAACAGGCTTTGCTATTCTTTTCCTTTCTTGCTTCAGCTGTTAAAAAGCCTTGGGCTTTTCCTGAGCACAGTTCACTGACTGCTGTGATTCAGTGGTGTAAACAAGCATTTGTTAGAAGCAGATGAAATCTGAAATGTTTAATTTAATTGCTTACAGTTGTTGAGTTTCTACAAGTACAGGGTAGTTCTAAATCTCATTCCTGTATTTCTTTCACTTCTCTGACTGGAGAAAGCTTCAGTGTTTTTGCTGTGAATCTGACAGAAGGTACCCAGGCTTTGTCTAGTGGTGACTGCAGAGCTGATTAATATCTGAGCTGCGTGTTTTTTAATGCTAGAGTAAATTTGTTACTGGCGTATGGGCGATAGTCTTGTAGGTAAAACCAAAACATGAGACTGAGACACTTTGCTTTTGTTTCGTGCTCCGTTTAAATTTCTGGGCCTCATCATCATTGTCTGTGAAATAAAGGTGCTCATAGTTATCAAGCAGATGTGTTAATGCATTAAGCCTCTTTTATTAAAGTCCCTTGTTACAAGACAGAAGGTGTTCTTAAAGGGAAAAAAAAATCTTTCCTCTGTAGCTGGTAACCTGTTTACTTGTTCGTTCAGGTCAGATGTTAATAATATTCTGGGAACAGAGTGCGCTGCAATGTAATTGCCATCAGAGTCTCTGAAGCCACTCTGACCTTTCTGGCCTCTATTTGACCTCCACTGATCTTTTACAGGTGAGCAAGCAGCTCTCTGAAGAGTATGAGAAGATTGTCAACCCTGAAAAGGCAGCAGAAGACACAAAGCCTGTGAAGATTAAGGAGGAACCTGTTAGTGATATTACTTTCCCCATAAGTGAGGAGCTGGAAGGAGATCTGGCTTCTGGTGACCAGTCTTTGCCCGTTGGAGTCCTTGGAGCTCAAAGTGAGCGCTTCTCTGCCAACTTGGAAGTAGAAGCTTCCCCACAGACTTCAGGTAGGCCTTTCTTCCTACTGCTGGAAACAGTCTAGCAGCTGTTCCATGTGATCTTGCTTCCATTTTTAATAGCAGAGCCCAATTTGAGGAAGGAGAGGGAGAAAAAAAAAATAGGTTCTAATAAAACCATTTGGATGGGAGAGAAACTCTTGCTTGCTTTCTAAATGCAAAACCAAAGAATCAAAGGTATCAGTTACGAGGATTTGTTAAATATCTACTCCATTTTTGGACCCTGTAGAACACAAAATACTTTATATGGTGTTTATTTTTAGGGGATTGTTAAATTTCTTGTCTTTGTTATTGGTGTGAGGTAGATTGTTTTTGTACAGTGATGGCCCAAAGGCTTTATTGTTGTTTTGTGAACTAGGACATTTGTTGCAGACCCGAGTACAGTTGTTTTTTTCCTAGTCTGATGTAACAGTGACAAAAATAACTTTTGTATTTATATATGTATGTATTTTAGTTTAAAAGAGACTACACTTTTATCTTTATTTCTAGTACAGAGAGTAGCAGATCCCTGTCCCTGCCCCCCCGCGCCCCCCCGC